CAAATGTATAATAACAAAAATAAAAACACTTGTAATAAAAATTAGTTATTTAAAAGTCTTATCATAAATTTATAAGAATGAAAGTAAAAAAATCATAAAATTGAAATAAACGTTATTAAAATGTTAATGTAAGTATGTAAGAGTTTCAGTAACAAGTCAATTTAGATAAAATAAATGTTCTTTCAGTGAATTAATCATTTATATTTATTTTCTTGAGCAAAAATATTTAATCATTTACAAATTTTAATTTGTAAATTTATAATAATAAAAATAAAAACAATTGTAATGAAAATTAGCCATTCAGAAATCTTAATATAAATTTATAAGAATGAACGTAAAAAATCATAAAATTGAAATAAGTATTGTTAAGATATTGATGTAAATATTGAAAAGTTACTGTAACAAGTCAATTTGGATAATAATAAACATACTGTTAGTAAATATATATTCTTGAGCATTAAAATTTAACCATTTACGAATATTAATTTATAAATGTATAAGAATAAAAATAAAAACACTTGTGATGAAAATTAGCCATTTAAAAATCTTAATGTAAATTTATAAATATGAATGTAAAAAATCATAAAGTTAAGGGTCCATTGGTAACCAGAAAATGACTTGCTAGAGGAAAATTTTTTCTGTGTAAAATGTTTTACAGGAAAATTTAATATTTTTTGTTGTTTGGATAAACTGTTGAAAACATTTTTTATTATTAGGATCATTTTATGAAAAATATTTTCTATCATGATGGAGTTATTTAGGTGTTAAAAGAATAAATAGGAGTTGATTACAAGACAATATTGATATTTGATTTTCATTAATTGGGGATCAAAATTAAGAATGAAAATTAAAATGGACAAAATCAATAATGATATTTCACAAAGCATTTAATCACATATCTGTATTGAAAATAAACTATAATTTTTAAAAAGCTTTCCATCTTATCACTTTTTTTATCATAACTTTAAAAATATAAATATTCATTAATTATGTAAGATATTCAAAACCTTTATACTTATAAATATGTATTCATTAAATGACGATTATTGAAATATTTTTTATTATAATTATTATTAAGATTTAAATCTATTATAAATGTGTATTCATCAAATGATGATCATTGAAATATTTTTTATTATAATTATCAATAAGATTTATTCCATTTATAAATAAAAAATTTAATTGTATTGAATGGTTTCATTAAAAAATATTTTTGTTAATTTTAATTGTGTTGTATAATTTAAATAATAATATTTTAAATTAATATTTTAATTTAAGTATTAATATTTTTATTTTTTTAATATTTTAAGTTAAATATTAATATTCATCAAACTTGTATTCATAAACTTAGAACCTATTTGGCTATTTTTTTAGCTTAAAAGCTATTATGAAGCTCCTATAAAAAATAATAGCTTTTAAAATTAAGTTAATCTGTTTGATAAATTACTTTTATAAATTCCTTTTTATAAATAAGTTGTTTGACAAAATAATTTATATAAGTTTTAATTTTGATTAAAATTATCATAAAGGGTATTTAATAAATAATTTTCTATTAATCACAAATTCCTTTGTTCATAATGAAAAAAAGTTAACTTTAGTTTTTATTTATAAAAAGTTTTAAAGTATTTTTATATAACATAAAATTTATAATTAATAATGAATCATATAAAAATGAGAACAGATAATGTTGAATTATTTTTAATAGATGAGGGCATTTTTGAAACAAAAAGAAAATTTTTCCTAAAAAAAAGTGTGTTTTTAAAAAAAGAGCAGAGAAAGCTCCTTCCTGGAGCTTTTTTCAAAGCTCTTTTTTCAAATTTGTTCTTTAAAAAAAAGCTACTTCTTTTTTAGAAGCTTCTCCAAATTCTTGTTTGGCCTGACTTTTGCTTTTAAAAGTAACTAAACTAAAAAAAAAATCAAGCCAAACAAAAACTTAGTATAAAAGTGTTTTTGCTGTTCTATAGAAAATATCTTACGCCTTTCAAGGGTATAAAACATTTTTCATGATTAACCTTATAGACTCATAAAATGTTTTACATCTGTAATTAATTTTTCATCTTCCAAACAAGCATAAGTCCTAAAAACATTTTTCAAAAAATATTTTACTACAAAACAAATAGACCCTACAATAAGTAATGTTAAAATATTGGCATAAATGTGTAATAGTTACCTATAACAAGTCAATTAAATAAAATAAATATACTTTAAATAAAAATTAATCATTTATATTTATATTTTTGAGAAAAAATTTAACCATGTATAAATTTTAATTTATAAATTAATAATAAGAATAAAAATAGTTAAGTTAAAATCAATCATTTAAAAATCTTGATGTAAATCAATAAAAATGAACATAAAAATTCACAAAATTGAAATAAGTATTATTGAAATATTAACATAAATGTGTTAAAGTTACTATAACAAGTCAATTTAAATAAAGTACACATATTTTAGTGAAATTAATCATTTATAAATGTTAACGTATTACAAAAAGAATAAAAATACTTAGTGAAAATTAACTTTAAAAAATCTTGACGTTAATGTTCATTTTTTTATTAACTTTAAATATTAATGTTCCTATAATTATATAATTATAAATTAATATTAAATTTTATTATATTTTTACCTTTACATTATACTATAATATTAAAAAAATTGATAATAATGAGTTTAACCTAATTAAATTAGTTAAATACAATACTATATTAAAAAGAATAATATTCTTATATTTTAAGATAAAAATAGAATAAAATTAAAAATTAGATAACATTGAACATAAAATGAATAAAATTAAAAATTACTCATATTATTTACCTGTTAATATATTTTTTTATATAATTGGGGAAGCAGGAATTTGAGCTTTACTCTTTAGATAAGGAATTATGTACCAACCAATGAACCAATTATTCGGGTGCTACCTGTTAATCTATTTAATAAGATTTTATTATTTTTTTAAAATTATATAATTTAGCCTTATTGTAAGGTCAGCCCTATCCATTGCGCTCACCACAAACAAAAGCAATGAATCTTGACCTTATGCTAGGAGCACTTGGGAGCTAAGTTGGCTTTTTTTATTTTATGAATATTAATATAATTATAACAATTAAACAAATTATAAATTGAATCAATATAATTTTGTTAGATTACAATACAAATAGGATGTTAGATCACGTTATTGAAAATCAAAAATATTAGATAATGGCTTTAGGTTATGTATTTATGTCACTTTCTTTAAAATTTTATTTGTCCCATGAATTATTTATTTAGATGTGTAAAAGCGTTATAAACTATAAACTTTGGGGATATAATAAAGTCTACTCCGTTTTGTATTGATGAAACCAATTCATTGAATATTCATCAATGTATGATAAGATTACAAAACTTTTATAGGATTTTTCTACAATAAAATGGTATAAAAGCAATTTGAGAAGAATTTGAAGAAGGTGGAGAGAATAATTGCAAATTGTTTCTATTTGTTCATATTCAAAAAAAAAAATCAAAGAGCTTATTTATAGACAAAGATATATGTCTTTGTGTAGACACAATTTTTAAATAAATATAACTATTTGAACAGACATAATTATTTAAATGACTTTCTTCATTTAATTCTTTCATTATTATTGTTGAAAATGTTCAACATCTTGATTCTCTCCTAAATTATTGAGAAACCCTTATTTATATATATATATATATATCTCTTTAATGGCCTTGTAAGATACACAATTTAGAATATAAAATTTCTCCTTTTATAGTATAGTATTAGAGCTATTTTGTTTATTTTTTATTATGATATTAATAGATTACAATTACTATATTATTAGCCTAATTCTCTCCTAAACTTTATTAATCTCTTTGTAAAATACATAACTCAAATACAACAATTTTCTCTTCATAAAATTAAACATGAATGCTTGATATCTATAGTAATACAAAAATTAATAGGACCAAATAGGTGGCTGATTATGTTGATCTCATAAACTTAGTCTTTTGTTTGGAATATTTCATTTTGTCATTCATTTAGAATTATTTAAATAAAAATCAAATTTGTTAACCTTACTTTCATTGCATGGGCAATTTGTAGTGAATCAACATTATTATATGAATATATTATGCAAGCAGAGCATTGTTTTGTTATTAAATTTAAATGAAAAATATACCATCTGGGCCTGCTGTTCTGAATCAGGTTAAAGCTTCGACCCTAAAAGATGAAAATATATTTATTTTTGATTTGGGCCTAAACACATGACCAAGTCCAATTCCCTCGAAGGTTGCCACTTGCCACTTCAGAATCATGTGTCGGTTGTTTGATTCCGGTAGTGGCTGTTGAGCAGTATAGTCAAACCACGTTGCCGTTCGGCCTTTACTTTTGGTGTTTTTAAACGTTTCTTCTTTTGACTGACGACATGATAAATTGTGGTACCGGTCGCACGGGAACATTGACGCGTGTGAACTAAACATCGGATGAAGATGCCTTACCAGATCATCAATGACGTCAACGTCTACCATCCTTCCAAAAACCCGAGGCCCATCCTTTTGCGGGAAAAGTCTTTAAATCCCTGAATAACTTTTATATAAAAAAAAAAAAAAGGATGAAATTTAAATATTTATTGACTTAAATATGAAAGAGTCTACGTTCAAAGGAAGACTAAAGAAAATTCATTATTTAGTAAAATGAGATGCTGTACATACTTCAGCAAGCAAAATAGGAAAAGGAACCTTCTGATTGGTAAAGAAAAAAGAAAAAAATTGCTAAAAAAAGGAAATAATTAAAACAAATAAATGGTTGGATGATGGACAGCGAATAGCTACTGTAGCTGATAACTTCAAAATTTGTTAATAATAATATTGTCTAAAATTGAAAATAATCAAAAAATAGGAAAAAAATATTCCAATAGGGGACCCGAAATCGTGGAAGATTCACAGTCAGCCGTAACGGACGGCTCTGTAGATGCCACGTGGCAAAGTAGTACATCTAAAGGTGACCTAATGAGGAGCGTTGCCTCCTTATAAATTTGTTGGACCAATTTCCCATTCTCAATCCTACTTAAAAAAATCGGTTAATTACCAAAAAGGGTGAACGAAAAGTGTCAGCTTGGATCGTCGATGGCGGAGAAGAGGTTTAAGTACGTGATCCTAGGCGGCGGTGTCGCTGCTGTAAGTCCCCTCCATCACTTCTGGCTCGTGGATTCCAACTTTCATCATCATTATTTTTTCATGAATTTTATTTGAGTTTATGATGTTTATCGATGCCTTTGATTTTGTGTATAGTAATTGTTGTACTCAATGTGTAATTTATCGGTTCATTTTGTAAGGCGTACGGATCTAATGTTGCTGGGAAATAAAAATGAAAAAGAATTAGTAAATAAAAAAATACATCTTTACTGCCAAAATGTTGAGGAGAAATAATTGAAAAAGAATCAAATGCCAAATTGAAGCCCTAGAATTGTTGTTATCCATTTAGTCACTGGATAAGGAGAAATGACTAGCTTATTAAGCCTTTTATAGTTGTTGAATTGAGTTCCTGAAAATTTTGTGTTTGTCAAAGTTTCATGTGAAAATTATTTGTTACTGAACTTTATTTATCTGTTCTGTACAGCAATTTGTACATATATATGCATATATTTTTGGAACTGGATTTACATTTAGGTAACCAAGCATGTTTGCGATTTGTAACCTAGTGTAATGTACCAGTTGCTGTTTTAATTGTGTAGAGCAGTGTGAGTTGTGAATGATGGTTGGGTTTTATTTTGCATTACTTAAAACGCAATAATGTGGAAAAGCAGAGCTTCTTTCATTTTATTGTCATAGTCACTCTCTT